ACTTTGAAAGCTCGTACAGCAAGAAGGCCACGTGCTCGGCATTGGTGACTATGCCGGACGTTCGACGAAATATAGTCAGAAAATTCCCGTAGGAAAGAGCATTATCATCGACAAATTTGAGGTGCTTGGGAGGACTAATATCCCTTACAGGTGTATCAGAGGGAAAGAAAACCAACTATAGCATAAATATCTAGAAGAGTGATCGACATTGGTCCCCAAGAAAACAAGAAACAATTGGTCGACGGAGACCAAAAGCTGATTACGACACCCAAAAGGCCCAAATTCATGTCCCCATCGAAGCAATTAAACTGAAGTGATGTATCGATACCGGCCCCCTTCCGGGTAGAAAATATTTCATCTTGGGATGTCATCCTCAGTTACCATTCATAAAAGTCTTACATCAAAAGAAGGAAATCCCCTTAATCGCTGGGACTCAATAGTTCATATTTCTATAGTAGAAGACCTCTGGAAAGGAAGTTTCTCTACACTTGGACGAAGAAAACAACATCGAAGGATCATTGGAATCTGGAAATGCAGCCTAAAACAAGGGCCTAGGAGAACGTCATCAAGATATTCTCCGGGATGGTTTTGAAGATCAAAATAGCAATTACCACGATACTCGTCTTCTCGCAACGTGTCGAAGTTAGCAATATAATTCGCAGAGGAATATCTAGGAGCATTAGGAGCCATGGAAGCGGCTAGGTTGACAACAAGCGAAACTTGGAGGCTGAGCGTGTATTCCAAAAGGAGAATAAGGTTTAAGTTGAAAATGAAGAGAAAGGGGAATAAAAATCAAATTTTGGCTAATTTTATACTTTTCGAAGCAGGATGACGATTAGAGGAGTGGCAATCCGTAAAGATATGATTCATAACGATGACGAATCGTGAATTGTTTCTATCGAAGTGATGAGTCAGGATACTACAAGGTAGCCATCACAGCATAGAGTACGAAGCGTCAGAGGTACAATACGCACCCTGTAATATCTAAGGAATCGAAACTCGTACGTTTTGAGAGTTTAAAAGAATTAAATATCACTTTTAATTATTTTATAAAGGAGGCATATGTTTGCACCAAATTGATCAGGTCATCGATATGGATAAGCACGTGACTAGAGTACATGTGAGCCATTGTCAACGACTATAAGAAATGTTATCGATATTGACGTACACTGATAACCATTAATCAATTGTCGATATACATCAACGTATGGTTGGTGATTGTCAACCAGGAAATCAGTTAAAAGGGTCAACGGATTATCGACTGAAACACCAAGAGAAGGTTGGATATAGAGGGCGCTATGATGCAGTTATGCAATCTCGAATTTGAAATCACTGGTGAGTGAAGCTACAAGGCTAGTAAATCGTGGAGCAAAAATGGACGAGGCAACACACATGGGCACACAAAATCAAAATGCAATTTTAAAGGAGCAACCGTTTGAAGGCGAGATCTTGGCATCATGAGAGCATAGACACAAGATTCTCAGAGATGAGTAGGCATGACTATAATTGCAAGAGAACTGCTCCCGGACAGTTATAGCATGAATATAATATATACCAGTGTTCAAACGCCCTCACGCACAAACAACAAATATGTTATCTTTTAATTATCTTTCAAATTCTGCATAGTAGTTACTCACGTGGTCGATTTAATTCCTGTGTGTATCATTATTGTATATCATGGGTGTCTAGTCATGGCTTAAATTTCAGCGTCGCATTTTTACGTCCTCAAGCTTTGTGGTCAATTAAATTAGGGCCAGCTTGTGTACGTCCAGTTCCGTTGGGAGTGATTACATTCTCAAGCTTTTTCGTCGATTAAATTTCAACACGGTTTGTGTACGTTTAGTTCCGTTAAGTGAAGTTATGGGTTCTCTTGTCTACCTGTGATATTTATTTTGTGGAGTCACCACAAAACTTGTCTTCTCTAATAAAAATAAAAATCGAAAAACGGCTTCTCGTGAAAGATTTTTCGTCGTCGAATCCAATTCATTCACGATTTTTCGTCGTCGAATCCAATTCAAGCGAAACACTTGTTGAATATTAAGATGCTATAACTTTGCCCAAAACTTTGTAATTTTGTCTCCTGGCCATTCTATCAAACAAGTAGAATGCATTGACTAACTTGAGCAAAGCAACGCGGAAAATCAACTCTTCACTCTACCATATGTTTCGACGAGCGCTACCGATGAGAGTCTTGAACAAAAAAGCATAAAAAAAAAGTTCACTTTCTCAGAAAAGCGCACTCGCCCTTTTCTCACTGGATCTATCTATTGGGAAGGGAGTAGGGCATCGGCGGGCATAGGGTGAGGACGAATTGTCGGCGAGGGCCAGGAAAGGAGCTGGGCTCGATGGACAATTAGAGATGGCCATTTGAGGGTGCGAGAGAGATCATGATGTCGAACGAGATCGAGGTGTTCTTCCGCACAATGAACTCTTGGAGTTGCTTTAGATTTGCGCTTTCCCGTGTGTGCATGTTTTGTCTCGCCTAGGATGAAAAGGACGGTGGCCACAACATTGCATGAGCCCGGCGAGGGATGTCCCTTCACCACCATAATGTTCCCCATTCACATGTTCTCCACGTGTTTTGTGAGAAAATACTAGGTGCAACCGTGATGCCACGTCATCTATGCACCGGTCCACTCAGTGGACGACAAGTGGCACCGTGGGCCCACCGTCGGAAACTGGAAAGTCTCTCTCCCTCCCTACCGGTTCGGTCGGATCTATTTCCTTCTCTCTCTGTAACTCCATGGAACCACCGATCTCTTGAGCTCCACCGCTGCTCGCTCCCTCCCCGAGCACCACCAATACTCCAGCCACAATGGCCATGAGCAAAACCAAAGACAGGGACTTCCTCCTCTACCTCGAGGCCTACCTCGCCAAGCGAGACGGTGTTGATAGAGCCCTGAAGATCTCTATGTATGCCACAAGGATCATCCTCTTCTCCTCCCTCCTGCCCGAAACCCCTACCCCTCTATTGCCGCCTCAAGAGCTTCGAGTATAGCATTGGCCTGAGCTGGAAGGCCTTCTGGCTCGGAAAGTGTTTCGCCAGAATTGATTTTGCAATGAAATATAATTCACTAAATGTCGTTCTTCGATTTTCTATGAGAAATGACCAGTTTCAGTGGCGATTCCGGACAGGAAATATATAGGCAAGAACAAGAAACTCACTTGTTTCCAGGCAATACAGATTTAAACTGTGACGATATTTGATCAATGAAAAACTTTAGCAATATAGTTACTTCAAACAAATCCAACCAGCCGCTGACTAGCGGCAGCATCAATCCACAACAGGGAATTGTACTCAAATCTCATCGATGCCAATTTACATTGATACTCAACTTAAGACATAAATATCTACGGTTAAGGAAATTGAAAATACAAAACATAAAGCTTTAAAGATTAAAAAAAAAAAAAAGACAGTATTTTGATTGTGTTTTTCGGGAGCTTTCTGCTGGCTATCAAAAGGTATTTATAATGTAAGCACGGTAACCGTCTTCTAACGACACTTGTCAACTTACGTTAAATTACCTCTATCGATCTCATCTTTATCATGCATTTCCACAGCTTCACATTACTCATGTCTTCATGTAACCGCATCTATCGTGTGCAAAACTGTAAGCTCCTATTGATAACTTCCGCAACCAAATTCATCAAATGTTCATGACTAAATTGACCAAATTGAAAAATTTATGATTGAATTGTCAGCAGTACAAAGTTTATGACTGATTGGGTAATTTTCCCGACACCATATGTCATATACTTCCATTGTCAAAACAAATTCTCGGCGTGTGCCACAAATCACCGAATTGACCAACTAGATAAAACATTGGTCAATTGAATGAACCAAATGCGAATTAACGATAATCCAATTAAAATTCAAAGCTAAATTGGATAATTTGTTACAAATTCAAGAGAGATCGGATGACCCATTACAAACTCAAAAGAGATCAGATGATCTCTTACATAATAAAATGAGATGAGAAAATCTTTAGCAGACTCAAAAGAGATTGGATAATCTGCTGCAAGTTCAAATCGATGGATGAAATGTAACCGGCCAGCCAATCAGATGGAAGTTGGGTTAGATCAAGCTCAAGGGGGGTTCATACTTTTCTTTGTAGAAAAGAATAAATTAGAGATTGTGCCCATTCGTTTCTAAGGTTTGGTACGACTCGACACCATTTTTCTTGTCCATTTCAAAGCTTGACACTCGACCGTGCAAGCCCGTTTGCTAGAGACACGCCTCGATATAAGAACTGAAATACTAGTCAAATCCGAGATAAATACCCAATTAGTCCTAAACATATTTGATGGGCATCAATTGAGTCATCATCCTATCCAATTTGGCTAACGTAATCATAAACCCAATGCAGTTCTTACGGGCCGATTGCAGCCGGAAATCGCTGACGTCGCATCCAGTCATCACCGGCGGTCCTACGCGAACGACCTGTGGATTGCCAAGTCAGATTTCCGGCAGTAATAGGCTCGTAACGATTGTATTGGAATTCCGCACAAAGGTTTACAACTACATTGACCAAAATTGAATAGATCGAGGACTGAACTGATGGCCATACAATAAATTTATGAGGGATTGGTGGCAGTTTTCCCGTCAAATCCTATTACTTTTCCATCCGGCCCCTTCCTCGGTCGTTCGGATCTTATCCTATTCCCGTCGTACCGAGCCCGACTTGATCAGCTATGGAAAACCCTCGATGATGCGAGTTCATCCATCACTATCGGCTTAATTAAGCTCGTTTAAGGAATGTTAATCGCGGGGCTTTTGACCGGTTAAGCAAACCCACCACCCCCATCAACTGAAAAAACCAAAATGGCATTCTCTACCCCGAGGTCGGCTCCCTCTGAAAAGTCAAAACAAGTCTCAATTCCTATTTTTATCCATCGCTTGCACCAAAATTATTTACAAAAAAAAAAGTACTTTTCTTTCCTTATCCAATTTGACCCCCGAAAAAGGAAAAAATTTCCTCCTTCGCAAAACACCCTTCGCCCCCCAAAACCCTAACGAATGCAACCCCCCGCCCGCCGCCGCCCGCCGCCGATGTCCGCCCTCTCCTTCCCACTCCCCGGCTGCCTCCGCCGGAGCACCGCCGCCGCCGACGACGACGACGACCCGCGATCCACGGCGGCCGGGAAAACGAACCTGACCACCAGCCTCTACCGCACTCCCGTCGGCGTCTTCTCCCTCACCTGGTCCCGGACCCGGGTCGGCCGGACCCTCCGGCTCCGCCTCTCCGACCCGCCCGCCTCCCCCTCCGCCTCCGACGGCGGCGACCGCATCCCCAGCTGTAACTCCCACGCCGCCTCTCCTCCCTCCTCCCCGTTCTCCCCGGTGGCGCCGCCGCCGTCCTCGGCCGCCCTCTCTTTCGACCTCCGCGTCAAGCCCTTCGCCTTCTGGAACAAGCGCGGGTCCAAGAACCTCGGCGGAGCCCGGGTCTTCTGGGACCTCTCGAGGGCCAAGTTCGGTGCCTGCGGACCCGGCCCGGTCTCCGGGTACTACGTGTCCGTGGTGGTCGGCGGCGAGGCGGTGCTCCTCGTGGGCGACCGCGCGAAGGACGCGCGCGCGAGGACCAAGGGGCGGGGGCCCGACCGGAGAGCCCAGGCGCTGGTCCTGCGGCGGGACCACGTGGTCGGCCGCAGGGCTTTCGCGACGGCGGCGAGATTCGGCGGCAAGGACAGGGAGATCTCGATCGACTGCACCACGAACGCCGACGCGAGGCTGTGCTTCGAGGTCGACGGCAAGAGGGTGCTGCAGGTGAAGCGCTTGAAGTGGAAATTCAGAGGGTGCGAGAGGATCGAGATCGACGGCGTCCCGATCCAGGTCTCGTGGGACGTGTACAACTGGCTGTTCGAGGGTTTTCGATACGGGCACGCCGTGTTCATGTTCCGGTTCGACAAGCTCGGCCTCGAGGAGGAGGAGGAGGAAGAGGGAGCAGGGGAGAGCACGCGAAACGGCGACGGCCTCTCGTGGTCGCAGCGGCGGCCGTGGAGCTTCGGGATGAGCGGGCGGGAGCACCAGAAGATGAGGAAGAGCATGTCGCGGGCGGCGGGGAGGAGCTACTCGTCGTCGGCGACGTCCGTGTCGGCGTCCTCGTGGTCGGCCTCCTCCGGCGGGAGCAATTCGGTGATGGAGTGGGCGACGGCGGAGGAGAACGAGATGGGGGCTCCGGCGGGGTTCTCGCTGATTGTCTATGCTTGGAAGAAATGAAGGATGATAGGATCCAATCCAATGTTCTCTGTGTGACTCTAAGGTAAATCTTGGAAGATTAGACATTCCTCTATTAACTCAAATTCTTTCTCTTGGACATAATACAACGATTTCTTAGCTTTTAGAATGAAGATGGATAGTAGTGTAGATGGTATTGGTACCTACCCAGTTAGCATTAGATGTAACATCAATCTCTTCGTGGGATGGATTCAGATAGGAAGAGACATAGATCAGTGAAGTTCTTTTGGTGGTGTAATCAGGTTGGTGATTGCTTGAGAATTCTTTGTAAGTGCCCATATCTCTGTATGTTGAAATTCTATTCACACGAGCAATTCTTCTTCTTCTGCTGCTGCTTGCTTTGTGGTCTGATCTGCTCTGCCTTCTTTGATTCTGAGCCTGAGTCCCCAATGCTGTTCAGTGTTCATTGCTGATTCTGATTCCGAGATCAGTTGTTTTCAGCTCATTAGTATACCACCATGATATAGACCAGGGCAATTTAGTGAATCTTGATATAATAAACCCTCAGAACTTATTGAAGTCGAAGGTGGGCGATACTGATTAGATTCCTTATTAAGTATGCTTAACAAAAGTGCTCGACAATTAATGTGAATAGCCAAGACGGGGAAGCCATCGAGAGAGAAAAGAACCTTGCGTTAAATTGAAAAGTGTTGAGCGAGGACGATGCCATCTCATCCTGCAACAATCAAAGAAATTATTTCAGTACGTTGTTCTCGACGTGACGCGCAAGGCATAAGAAAGATCCTCTCCGTCTCGTTGAAAGACGAGGGACGGTAGGACGGGGACATGGGATTGAACTTGGTACCACATTTATCTCGAACCACCTGGTACCGCCCGCATTTATCTCGAACCAGTCCTAAATCTAAAGACGAGATTCTGTGAGTCTGTGTTCAATGCAACCGTCGTTTTTAATTCCATAGGACTTTGGAAACCCAGCCGAACATACATAACTTCGTGCGAAGAAACTAAGAAGCAACAAAAGATTGCGGTTTATGTCTTACCTCGCTTGGTGAGATATGATGTGGTTATCCTAGGATTAAGAGATGGTCGTTCTTTATGTTTCCAATCCTATATTACTAGCTAGTTGAGATGTCAAATGAGTGGGTGGGCGGGCTTGGTTTGATGAGTCGAAGGGTCCAATCAAAATTGACTCATTTAATCCATTGATTCACAATTTTAATAATTCATATATAATCCGACCGGTACTTAACTCAGGTCAACTCAAATAATTCGTATTCTGAAGGCATTAATTAGACTTTTTTTAAAATTTTTCCAGTTTGATTAAAGAGAATGCTAGTCACACTTACTTTTTCCCTTGCTCTCGGACACTCTATCTTAACAAAACTCGGCCCCATATGTAAAGGGTCAAGCAAGGTTGCTGGTGATAACGGGTGGTAGATCTGCTAGCGCAATTGTCGCCGACGTCACCATCGGCTTTGATCGGCAAAGTTCTTCATTTCACTCTCTGCATTTGCTTCTTTATGCTTTTTTTTTTCCGTTTTTCACTAAACAAAAATGGTCGAACTTCAAAAGCTTATAAACTGGTATTAATGAGCATCCGATAAACTTACCACTACCATTGGCCACATGGCCTTTTTAAGTGGAAATAGTCTCTTGGAGAGTGTGAGAGCAAAGTGGGCTTTGCATCGCTGTATAATTAAATGGGTTGACGGTGGGTTCTTTCTGATCCATTAGAACCCCATCATTAATTGGGCTTCGCTTTGTTAGACCCTATTCAATCTATACTTCAAATCTCGGACAACTTATGTATCACCTGACCCATCAAAATATGAGTTAAAGTATAGGTCCATGACCCATTCCATCTTGCCACTTTCTACTGTGCAGAAATTCCTGTAATTTGTCGAATGAATACGTGCGAAATCAGGGGCATTGGCTTATTACTTAGTGCTAAGAAAATAACTACGGACATGAGTGACATGTGATAGAGCAGTTGAGAAATTAGAAAACAAAAATATATCTACATGAAATCCGTGGATAAATTTCTATGTTTTAACAGCATCAACTTAGGCCTTTAAACCGAAGAGAGCATAAATCTCGTTAGTATTGTACTAAAATTATCCAAAATCACGGTGATATCATTAATCGTGCAAGCATTTGATCATGCCCTAAAACTTTTTTATCACAAGTAATTTTCCCTAAAATGTGCAAGGGTTAAGTGTTGAAGTATGAATTTTGAAGAGGAAAAAATAAGCAAATAAAAAGTTAGAAAAGAGAATGAAAGCTGGAGAAAGGGGAGGCTAACAGTAACTTGGCACTTGGCAAAATCGCATAAGTGGTAACACCATTTTTATTATTTGTCCATTTTGTTGCTGCTATAATGCATCCTGAAAAAAGATGGGTAGTTTTTATAAAACTTTGGATCAAAGGTCGAGGTCGAAATCCTTAATTGATACTTTCTATGTGATGGAGATTATTCCTTGATTTCAATTGTAACCCCTTTAGTTTTAAAAGTATATTTTCAAGAGAACACTTCAGTTTTTGAAGTCTCGTCGATTGTGCTATTTGATCATTTTGAGTTTTTTTTTATTATGCATTAAAATTCTCAAACTTTCTCAATTTGTACGAAATTATTAATGAAGGCAAAGTTTGAAAAAAAAATTCAATTACCCCTAAAGCAGCATTCCTAAAATGCTCAAAGGGTCAAAAGACTTTGGAAATGTTCAACTTTAGCTCAAGTGTCTTTGGGATTGTGTAACCAAGTATCTCAACTTTGACACAAGGACTTTTGGACGTCCAGAAGACATTGAAAATGCTCCCCCAACCAAATGGACCTTGAGCTTTCGGAGTGGGCACTTCGTATGGCCTTAACTCATCATCTGTTGCTGTATTGTTTGCCCACTTCATTGTGCTCCATGTCAATCTGTTTCGTTATGAATGTAAATTTGCGAGAGAACTCGTGACTAAACAAATTCTGTTCACAAGTGAGCAAAGCAAGAAACTCAGAGAAACACAGAAGCAAACACCGGGAACTAGAAATAAAATGAATGGAGTGACTTTTCACAGTTCTCTTCTGGCTTGAAGATTGATGAACAACACGGGCAATACAAGGAAGGTGGAGGGAAGGGAACTAAGCCCTTTATCCTCGCGTAAAGGTTCATCCTTTAGGTCTTAATGGTGAGCTTCTCCTATCTCGAAATCCATTATCCTTGGCAGGTGGTTTGGCCTTTAAGCCTCGGTGATGAATTTCGTCAATCCCAATCTTGATCCTTGGCTAACGGCGCGTCATTTAGGCCTAAGTGGTGACCATAATCTATCCTTCATCTTTCATACATCATCCTTTATCACTCGAAACACATTTGCCCGCCACGCACACGCATCACAAAGGGAACCGTGACCCTCACACTCAAGTGGTCCTCAGACATTCATCAACCTCTCCCCATAAATCCTCTTTCAATTAGCGCTCTATCCATTCTCCACACCCAGCATATCAGCAAATAGATGAGATACACACTTAGTTTCAATGATAGGATTATTAACTCACCATTCAACATGCATCATCTCACATTCCATTAAAATGATGCTGGAAGGAAAACAAATAAGCCAGAAGACACTAGATGGAAAAACTCTGCCCGTCGATTCTAGCTATAGCACAGTTTTCCAGTGAAGTCTCCGGTAACACATCTGCAGCACCTCTGGCAGAAGTCAAGCGCGAGGAAGCGGAAGCCATAGACACTTTCAATTGACATTGTCATTCAAATAGACCAAGACAACGGTGCACAAAAATAAACAATTACGGAGCAAAACAAAAAGCATCTGATTCGCCACAACTCCCTTACATAATCAACTGAGCAAATACAATTGAAGTGAAACTAATATGATGCAAAGTAGACTCTAATTAGCCACTAATCAAAGATGCTTGCAATGATGCCCACTAAATGCTCCAAAGTTTGCAAAAGCGAATCTACACAACTGCAACGCTGTGAAGCTCCGCAAACAATGAAAATATCGGGTTTAAAGCGCATAACCGTACTTTCCTCATTTGATCGTAGTAACTAGAATGCGCTATTCAGCACACCTAATTAATAACTTGCCATCAAATCATTATGTATGGAAATCAAAATAAAGGATACCAGAATAATCGACCCAATGAATTTAAATGGAAGCTCAACAGCCAGAAATGATTAACTTAACACGTTCTTCATTAATGATTCATACTAACAGAACGATTCGCGCAGGTTTTTACAAAGAGAACTAGAACTCTCACACGCAAGTAGTCTACAGATGTTCGAGCCAAAACTTTCCCAAGCTACCTTCATTTAATCAGTACCCTGTCCATCCTTGAAACCAAGGCCGAACAATACACCGGCATGCTTTTCAGTGGAGCCATTGAAGAAGACATCCCTCAACTTCCGGAAAGCACAAGCTGCGAGCAAGCTGTCAGACCCGGCTTGATGGCATGCGCCAAACCTCTCGACCTCCAGCAATTCGGCAAGCCTATTCAGGTCGCCGTGAAGACTCTTGTGGAGCTTCATCAAATGCTTGATGTCGTACACCATGGGGAAAAACATCTTTATCAATTCGAAGAACCCCGCTCGCGTACCGGGCAAGCTCCGGCCAGTCAACAACTTAAGCAGGTAACCGAAATCGTACCCGCTATGAAAGGTCACGCATTTAACATCATCATTCAGAACAACCCCAGAGGACATCAGGAGCTCACCGAAGCGTCTCACCTCAACCCCCCTTCTCATTGTTCTTCTTGAAATCAATACCGCGCCGGCGCAGCAACTCGATCGAATAGCAAGCGAACTTGTCCTCGGTCACGTTGAACTCGCGGAAATTGAACTGCCAAATGCAGTACTTGTCCGTGCCGCAAGTGGGCAGGCTCCCCGTTCTCGTCCGAGAACGTGAGACCCAATTGGATCAACTTCAGCATATCCACGTTATTCTTCAAAGTCAGGTAGTTGTAATCGCTGATGTTCTTGAAATTCCCCACCGGGTGAGAAACAACTCCGGGGAACTCGGTATCCATCGCCACGTAATTGAACCTGTCCACGACCTCGCGGATCAATTAGAGGTGATCGGTTCCCGGTCCGGTCCGATTCCAAGGTGAAACCGGAAACCGGACCGAGAGAACCGGTTCCCAATTTTGGGAACCGCGGACCGGACCGGTTGGTTCTAGGACCGGGAACCGGACTGGACCGCTGGTCCAGTCCGGTTCCGATCCGGTCCAGTGGAACCGGTCACTTAGAATTTAGTTTTTTTTTTTTTGGTCAAACACTTAAGGTTTGGTTCACATTTTACTAATTTTTGTCAATGAATTTATGTCAATGAAGTTCACTTAGCGTTTAATTCACATTTTACTAATTTTTATCAATGAATTTATGATAATGAAGTTCACTTAGAGTTTAGTTCACGTTTTATTATTTTTTTAAAGAAAAAAATAACAAAAAAATATATTATATAGTCGGTCCGGTCCAGTCGGTCCGGTCCGGTCCTGTTCCCCCTTGGAATCGAGAACCGGACCGCCCGGAAACCGGTTCCGCTTTTAAGAATCGGGAACCGGACCGATAGTCCCGAGAACTGGACCAAACCTGTCGGTCCGGTCCGATCCCGGTTTGGGCGGTCCAACTTGCTCACCCCTAGTTACAATCGTTGTGCGTTTTCCTAAGGCAAATCAGGACCGCAAGATCTTTGCGCTCCTCGGCAGTTGCCCCATATGCGTCGCACGGAAGGCTATACTTATTTCATTCAATAATAACTAGCCAAATGCGGCGAAAAATTTATTAAAAGAAATAAATGTAGCGCGACGATAACATAATTAATCGAGCACAACTTAATACGGTCCTTTTGCGAAACAAAATCTTAATAATACAAGATAAACATAATCTTTGCAGGGACATGATGAGAGGGGGTGGCAAAATTATGATTTTAAACCAATAGCTGCCAGCTTCCCAAATTTGACCTACAAAAACTCGAGCAAGGAAAACCGACACCCCCTTGATTTACCTACAAATTCTGTTATTCTAGATGTGTTTGGGGAGAGTTTTGGAGAAAGCATTTTCCCATTGTCCTTTGACTCAAGGTGTATTTGCTCAAAACAAATAGCACTTGGATAATTGATTTTGGAACATTTTTTTTATGAAGTAATGAAGTTAAAAAAAAAATAAATGAAAGAAAAAAGGAAAGAGCAAAGCTACTGGATATCCGCAGAGCCTCGAACGAACTGAAGACACGCGCCGATGAGCCTCGCGCAAGCATCGACCAGGCGAGCTAACCAGAGGCGACTGTTGGCAAGTCTTGCACGATCCTTGGCAACTCTTGCATGACCCTTGATGACCTTCGGTGATCTTCGGTGCGTCTCGCATGACCCTTAGCGGCCCTCGAGACAATTCTTGCGACCATCCAAATCTCACCCCGAGATAGACCCACAATTGTTGATCCTCTGCGACACTCAACCCTCGCCGAGCGTCGATTTAAGGCCGACGACCTAGATCCGGAGCCATAGCGTCGAAGAGTGATGATGGATGGTGGACCTAGGGCAAGACGAGCATACGAAAAACATCAGCGAATGCAAAGTTGGGAAGGAAAAAACAATTCAATGACTACCCTCGAAGCAGCATTTCGAAAATGCTCAAAGTCATCTCCCAAATGGGCCTTGAGCTTCCGAAGTGGGCTTCTAGCATGGCCTTAACTCGTGCTAAAAAAAACTTCAATGGGCCGATCCGGCATGTAGCGGGCCCGGGTCGGCCCGCCCATCCCTTCATCCTCCCGCCCCGAATAATTCAGCAGTCGTCTCTCTCCTCGCGACTGCTGGCGGCGAGCAGCGTCAAGCTCGAAGAGCCTCGAGCGAAAATGGCGGCGTCTTCTTGCTCGCGCCTCGCGCGTCCGGCTCGTCGGAGATCACTCCTCACCCCTGAAACCCTCCCAAGCCTTCGCCGCCGGCAGCGACCTCCGTTGCCGGAGCAAACCGCAGCCTTCGCGCTCCTATCTCAAGGAAGACGGTACTCCGCCGAGAGCGTCGTCAAGTCGCCGTTCGACGCTCACGTTCTCAGGATCCTAGACAGCCGGATCGAGCTGGAGTCGGAGTACCCTGTATTTGAGGTGAACTGGGTTGCGTTCTTTCCTTCTCGTACGCCCGAGCTTCCGTTTGTTTCGTGCAGGAACGAGTGGAAAAGTGGGGAAAAAGAGGGGGCATTTTTCATGTGTGAAAATGAGTAGTGATGAGTGCGCGGGTCAGTGGGATTATCTCGTTCTTTTGTCTGTTTGAGGGAGGCCCGTTAATTTGTTCATTCTTGCAAAGTTAGCTTGGCGATTGGCAGTGTTGTGGCAGCTGGAATTCGTTGTCATTAGGAAGTTGAAATTCGTAACGCATGCTAATACTGGTACTGTCTTAGCTAAGAGGATGCTGGTGTATGTTTCTGATTCTTTCCGAGCTTGTTGACTGTGACATGAAGAACTCTGTCCATGTCCAGTGGAAAATGTTTTTCGTTTGAGTTTCGAAAGTGAATAAGTAATTCTGGACAAACTACACTAGCTCTCAGGAAAGTGAAAGGTACCATTAAGAGATTGAAATGGGTCAGATCGATCGAGTTTACTTGGAGGTTTATCTGGACGTAGTGACTATATAAAGATCAACCAACATGTTGTCTTGCCATGACTTTGTCATTGGGGGAACAAGGTAATTGCTAGCGACGATATTCGAATTACTTTGTTTAGAAGGTGGTGGCAGATAGTAACTTCCAGTATTCTAGTGCTGCTAAACAAGGACGTAGGATATACTCCGATATTGTCTTGCCATGATATTCCAAAAATTGCGACTTATGTTGTAACTTCTATTGTTTCTATTCTTTGGTGAATTTTATAGACTCCTACGAAGTTCGATTCCTATACTGTTCAAGATCAACCGGGTCAACGGTGGGTCACACTGAGGGGGAAATTTGGCGATGGAGAGGATATTAAAATTGAAGCAACGTCATTTGATGCGGCTGTACTTGTTCAAAAACCTGGTGAAGACAACTCTCGTCAAGATATGCGTCTGCATATAAGCTTACTGGTTGATGTATCTAAAGGGGATGGTCGTGGGATGCTGGAGTTTCTATGCTCAGCATGGCCAGACTCTTTGGAGATTCGGAATGTTTACCTATTTAGAAAGGAAATGCAGGAGAAGATGCATTCGTGGTCTTACATGGGACCTGATTCTAGGTATGTTATGGTACCAAACTTCAGAGGGTTAATTAAAAAAAAAAAGCACAAATTTTAGGTCGAGGGACAATTCTGGCTCGAACTTTTTTTTGTTCCATAAAAAAGCATCAACTTTAGATCGAAGGACAATTCTGGCCCGAACTTTTTTTTGTCCCATAAAAAAGCACCAACTTTAGGTCGAGGGATAATTCTGGCCCGAACTTTTTTTTGTTTCGTAAAAAAGCACAAACTTTCATTTAAATCCCAAATTTGGCCCCCCATTGATTTTCTGTCTGAAGTTACCCTTGTTTGGGAAAAAAAGTTATGGTGGTGAGCCTGGCGAATCTCTTCCATGGCGTCTGTCGACAAGTGGTGGTCTACAGCTTCAGATTACGACAAAACGACGAAGTTTGGCCAGAAAGATTCAATCTGGAGATATTTTTGACTTGCCGGTGAAGTGAAGGAGACGAACAGTTTCACCGTTATTCTTCAAGTTGTGGTTTAGAGAATAAAACAATGAATAATGCTTTAAATCCAGTCAGCAAGTCACGTGGATTTATTGCTAAGGTGGAATAGTCAAATTGGAAAATCAATGGTTTTAAGTCAATAAGGGCCAGATTTGGGATTTAAGTGAAAGTTGGTGCTTTTTTACGAGACAAAAAAAAGTTTGGGCCAGAATTGTCCCTCGACCTAAAGTTGGTGCTTTTTTACGGGACAAAAAAAAGTTCGGGCCATAATTGTCCATCGATCTAAAGTTGCTGTTTTTTTATGGAAAAAAAAAAAATTCGGGCCAGAATTGTCCCTCGACCTAAAGTTGGTGCTTTTTTTTTGAATTAACCCAAACTTCAGATGAGGTGAAATTTACTGATATAGATATTTTACTTCTATTTTGGAGGTTTATCGTTGTAGGCAAGATCTTTTCGCTTTATAAGCATCTTCTGTTTATGAACTTCATTCCAAGTTCCAGAGTGCTGTTCTTAGTTCTTTGCTGTCCACCTTGCAAATATAGCTGAGATATATCTTAAAGGAGATCAGCATCACCAATTGCATCCTCTGGGATTCATTTTCCATACAGGAAGTTGAATGCAAAGATACGAAATACTTTTCAGGAGTTCTTGGAGAGAAGGGGAGTAAACAACAAGATGTCTGCTTTCCTGCATGAATACATGAGGAACAAAGAACGGGTGGAGCATCTTAGGTGGTTGGAAAATGTGAAGTCATTGATTGAAAAGTAAAAGAGTATAAGGAGTGAGCCATTAAGGAAAGCCTCAGCTTGCATCTCTTCTCTTGGAGGTAACATGCCTGCTAACATCTGAATGATGGTTAACTCTGATTCCTACCTATATAGGTCTATCATTGTATGGTTGTAATTTCAACGTTGTTTTGATTAATTAAATAGAATGGAGCTGCTTGGCCACTGTGCCCCCCCATCTTCAAGTGTTCCAAGGGTGTTGTATGGTTTTGATATGGATATCAATCTAAGACCTACCTTCCATCAACTGTAGTGAGCGGCATGACTTCGAGTTTTCATATTTGAGTTGTTGAAGTTTTAATTTGTGTTTTGAGAGCTGGAGCTAGTCTAGTAGAGCTTTAAATCTGGTTGACTAGAAATTTGATCCTAGTTCCAGCGGTGTAAATCACACACGTTTGGTTAAGTTTAGAGAGATGAGCTCGGATGACATCAATAAATTCATAGCAAACTTCTTGCTTGTTTTCACGTTAATCAATAATTTAATGATTTTTTTATTAAAAATTTGTATTCTCAATTTTCTTCTTGGGCATTTGGGTATGTGCAGAGTACATGCTGTGCATGCCAAACATTATAGACCATGCACATATGGAAATGGTGGATGACTGCATGCATGTCTTAGAAACTGGAGTCTTTATGGTTAGCATGAAAAGGCTTTATAGTGGTTTTGACTTATGCTGCTTTCTTAAAGAGTCATGTTGGATGGCATTCTTAGAGCTTTTTAGATGTACTCGTTTCATATTTATGTCGTCATTGAGTGGGTATTGGCACGTTGTGCATCCATGTGCATATATGTGCTCACTTAGGAGTAAGTCTAAAATGTGTTTCCTGTGTGATAGTTGTATATACTTCTCTGCAATCATGCATATGTATGTACAACATGCGGATGATTACACACTTTTTAGGAGATTTTCAAGTAAACCGAATTTATTGACTTGGAAAAAGTTCAAGCCAGGCTGATGAAGTCAATTTCTAAATCAGGTTCAAATTTTTTGTTCTAGTTTGGTTTGGTTTTGACTTCAGCTCAGAATTTTGGGTTTCTTATATATTCATTTGAAGCAAATTTCATTGAAATGTTCTGCTCATAAAAGTATTATTTCTGGCCTGGTGTGGATAGGTGCTTCTTTGAAACCCCTGGTGGGGTCTGCAGTTTTCGTGGATGGTTGCTATATTTGAAGGATGACACGGTTTGGCCGTCCATTGAGGGACGATGCTGATAAATAGAAAAGATAAAAACTAGAACAGTTGACATTCCTGTTAATGGAGCAGTCATCTCTGACAAATTCTACTGGATCCACCTACTTCCATATCTGTTTTGCAAAAACTGTATTAAGCTCATCTGATGGTTTCAAAGCCGAGATATAATTTGATACTGACATGGATGATATTCCTCTGTCATACATTTGTTGTACAGGACTTTTTTTTCTTAAGGAGTTGTACGGAACTTGATATAATGTTGGCTGAGACTCTAATTTTTGTTTTCTCTATTGGCGGCAGATGACAATCTCAATCTGAAGAACGTATGGCAAAGTGGTATTAATTTTACGGTCACTACTATGGGGATGGCTTCTGCTGTCATGTCGAAATCCTCATCGTTTCCGTTGTACCTCTGTGAGTCGTGTTAGAGAGAAGAATGAAGGTATCTGCGAGTTGAACTTGTGAAGACATTATTCATGGCTTCATGTCCTCGTCCTATTTCAACAGAAGCTAGTGTTTTCAGACTGCAGGCGTGGTCAGTCAAAGAAATGCTCTGCCTTTGGCTTGTTATTGTAATCTTCTCTTTTCTGCTTTACTTACCAGTGATCTACAGCATTAGTTTGTGAGCACATTTCAGCATTGTCCAAAACGAATTCGGTACCTTTCCGAGAGGCTGGTAAATTTTGAGTCGCAATCTTGTCATGTTCTTGGTGTGTTTGTTTTAGCATTTCTTTCGGCATAACACGGTGAACCCTCCTGTGATAGAATAGCAACTCATCTATTTTCACAAGTTCACTGCTCGACTTGTAATATGGATAGCGTAACTACCATGCGCACACGGTATTCGGAAAAATTGCAAGAGATGGGTTCTACTGAAGTGAATGACACTCAAGTCAAGCAACTGACCTGTTTTCTGATCCGAGCGTAAAGAACCGGACACTGCTTTGAAATGAACTGTTTCTACATATTAGTAACAACAACATCGTATGACGTTCGATCTTTACTTTCGGTAGAAGATGATTTGCTTACTTTGTGGATCCGTATCTCCATACTCTCAACGGTAGAAAACCGATGACCCGGCATGCATACTTCAATGGGGCAAGTTCCCGTCAACCGCCGGTCGACCTCGCTTGACCGAATCCTTCGGAATTAGGCATGTGGAGAAGTCGCGAGAGAAATCAATGGGCGATGACGAGCGAAAACACCCCGACTCCCTCATTGGGTGCCGACGCAAGACCTAATTTGGTGGGGACCCGATTGGAAAAATGACTCAGCCCTCGCTCTTAGAATACGATTTACTCGAGACATAATGCAAAATGTGATGCAATGTGGACTGACCATCACGTTAGATTTAAGTTAAAACCGTATCTTTCCTAGATTCACATATCACTCGGTGAAAGCGACGCATCACACGCATAGCGCAAGAAGACAAAGCCTGAATAGCTTAAGATAATAGAGCAGGTCGCCATCTAAAAGTGCAGTCGAGGACAAAGCACTGGTCTCTTCTCTTGGAAGCCAATCTTTTTTGAGATTATCGAACTTTTTATTTAATTCTGATCACAGCTTGCAAATGCCGAGTGCTATCCTATGAATTTTGGACGCTTGGGTTGCTTGCTTTCCTATTTTATTGTCAATCATTGAGCTGCATGGTCAGTTTCTGTTAGAGCTGATCTCAGAATGAACAGAAGTTTTCCGGTAGCTTGTTCAAATCCTAGGTGATTTATATGGTTTTATATGGTGGTGAGGTATAATGGGTCATGGCCAAGATTTGGAGAGAAACCCATCAGTATATGGTCGATTGTGTTCATACGCTTGAATACGCAAGAGACGGTAATGTGCGTCATGAACTCGTGCTAATTTCGTCACTCGGACTACGACTCCTGATGCGAATTCTTCGGCCTTACGCAAGTGAATGGTCTTGGGATAGTGTCCGTGAATGTCGATGCATCTTTGGCATGGTTCGACGCGATGATACGGAACCATTTCGGGTATAATTTCGATTGCTTCTGAACCACTCATCGGCACAAGGTGGAGCCGAAACTTGGTATTCATGGAATCTACATCAATAGAACTCGATGACAGTGATTTTTCAATCATATTCAACTCAAAGAATTATCGGAAAATATGCTTAGAAAGGCTTTTGATCTACATGATAATCCGTGTGGAACAAATTAAAAGTTTAAGAATTTGATCGGAAAAAAAATGTGCAAATTCAACAAAAACTATATCGATTTCTCATATGAGAGTCCCTTTTCATTCCTTCCCCACTGAAAACATCATTCTTGGATTTGTTCTTTCTTCTTTCCATCTCTTTGTGTAGCACGCAGTGTCTAACTCATGTAGGGTGGAAAAGGTTGGAGATCGTAGGCCTCTCGTCAGACGTCAGCTCAGGTTCTAAGTGTCTAACTCATGTAGGGTGAACCTGAACTAGTTATCAATGACAATTGACAACGATTGTTAAATCTATGTGATTCACGTGAAACAATTAGGTTAAACCTAATTCAGAGACTACATAAGAGACCTCTTTCTAATTCAGAGACAATTGCGCTGTTAAAGCCATGAACCCTCGGTACTGTGGAGACCACAATCGTGGTGGCACTTCACCTTGGAAAGACACTGGTTGCGCTCTCCTAGTAGCGACATGTCGGGCTCGTGAAAGATCTTTACTACATGGACTAGAAAGTGAAATCTCTATCTTCTCAGCACAAGTCAAAACACTGAGATGTTATTTGTATGGATTAGATGCAAAAACCTCTGAGCTGGTTTGCACTACTGAAACCGGTGGCCGCTCTCATCAAAGTTGAACTTGTGACCAGTCCAATTTGACGGTTCAGATGAATATAGGGTGCATTAATTTGATCCATGCTAGAAAGTTTCTGAAAAAACTGACACCGATCATCATAACAATTCCATATTACCGGAGCACTCGAGAACGATGTTAAAAGTACAAAGCGGTTGAAGAATAGACTTTCTTCCTGGGCAATCTGAATCAGAAGCCAAGAAAGTCTTCACGAATTGCTAGCAAGAAGCGACAAAGTCTGCAGCTAGCTAGCTTTCATCAGGGCAATCTTCAACTCATTCTAAAAATCTCTCATGTTTTACAAATGCAGCCTTCAAAATCCAACTTGGTCAGATACATTCCAATTAGAATCGGAAAGACATCAATGCGTCGAAAGCTCCTAACTTTAGAGATATACATAAATCTCACGAGCATAACATATAAGCTAAAATTTCCCCAGAAAGCGAAAAAGATAAAAAGCAAGAAAATTTTCTACAAGAAGAGAATTCCAAAAACAAACATGATGCTAGAAATGATATCTAATTCCAGAGCTTGAGTGATAAGTCAAGCGTCTGCAGCTCCTCCTGATTAGCTTTCAACCGGGCACCAGTTGTCGCCCCCCAGCAACTGCTGCTACCGATTTCGTTTCCCAAAATACCCATCGAAGGCGTGATACTATCGAATCTACCAACACTAACTCTTGGAGAAGAATAAGATGATGATCCTCCTGTTGCATTTGCTTGGTCATGACTACTCTCCATGGACAGCAACCTTCCCACTGCTGGCTGTTGACCCAATATTGGAGGCCTATTCCAAACATGGTGCCCATACACACCATTCCCAATAGGACTGGCACTAAAGGAAGGTGCATGAGAAGGCTTGTGGATGATGGAATGCGCCTGAATTCCAAGAGATCGGTTGCTATAGGCGCTGCCTCCGTGAAGAGGAAGAGAAGACATGCTCGAGTAATGGTGGTGGTGATGGTGCTGGTCCATGTAAAAAGGGTTTCCCAGGACATGTAAGCCCGTCGCACCTAGCCTTTGTCCTCTTTTCGCGAGAGTGCGCTCTCTCTTGTGCGCGTTTTGGTGTCCTCCGAGTGCTTGTGAGCTGTAGAACTTTCTCTGGCAGTAGTTGCACGAGAAGACCTTAGGCTCCGCTTCAGAAGGAGCTTCAGCAGCTTCCTCCGGCGATGTCTCAGGCCGGCCCATGTCCAAGAAGTGGATGAGGTTCGGTTCTGGGCAGAACCCGCGATCGGAGTCGCCGCACGAAAGGTTTAGGTCAAGTGGCCTAGTAGGTTTAGTTGATGGTTGACCTTGATCTTGATATGTCCTCTCTTCTTCTTCTTCCTCCTCTTCTTCTTCAACATAGATGAGCTCTTGCTTGTTTTCTTTGGAGTTTTGGAGGGGAGTGTGCGGGCACGGAGGAGGCTCAGGCACCGATACGACGGTGGAGGACTCGGATGGACATGGTGGATCTTTAGCATGCGGTGCTTCCATGGGAGGATACGAAGAAGGAGATTGAAGGGCTTAATCTCTGCGGATGGATTATGAAATTATTGAAGATGGGTGGGAATAAGATTAAAGAGAGTACTGTTGTTCGCTAGTAATTGGCTCTTCTATATATGGAAGGGTAAAATGTAGTACGGAGTTCATATATAGTAAAGTTAAGAAAAGAAGAATCAGTGAATAAACTAATAGAGAGAGCGATAGAGAGAGAGAGAGGGTGATTTGGATTTGAATGACTTCTATTCTTCTGTACTCGTCGATGAAACTACAACAAATTAGACATAGTCGCTTTTCCAGAATGCTAAAGTTTCGAATACTAATTTCTCATGAGAGTAATTCTAGTTAAATTATCATCGATTGGCAGCAAATTAACATGCTAAATGACGAGATGAATTCTTATTAATCGCTAAATATGACCCACTGATTTACACTCTCTTCTCGACGTTCCATGGAACATAAAATCGAGGACCAGCGAGCCTATCACGCGCAACAAACAAAAGAGGTTCATCAATCATGTGGGAGACAGGGCTGACCTTGGGGAGAAATGGCAAACTGAAACAGCTTTTCCATTTGTACTTGAAGGTCCATCCATGAGCCCCCATGGCCATGGGGCAAAGCAACGCAGTGCCCCATTTTGATTTTTGTTGCTTCTCTCTGCTCCTTCGGTGGGGGCATCACATGCGCCTCTTTTGATCCATCTGGGGCCAAACCCTAAAGGTAAAAAATTCAATTAATGTTTTCAATAGGATTAAAGAAATGAAATTTCAGCAAATTCATTAATATTTTGCCAGTTACTAATGATGTGGTTCTAGCTGTGGAATTGTTTGATAGTAGGTTCTTCATTAATCTTTGCTAATATAGATTGTGATGTCAATTCTTTTAGCATCCGTCTAGCAATATTTTGGTGATTTTCGGCAATCTATAACTTGGAATTCCTGAAATCGGAGGTTGTACGAAAAAATCAATTAAAAATCCTATACGATTCGCGAAGTCGAGGAAATAGAGGAAAACTAGGGATGAACGTGGAAAATGGAGTAGATTTCGAAATTTTTGTGAAGAAGAGGGGAGGAACATTGAAAATTTTCTTGTTTTTCCTCCCTTCCATTTAGATTTTAATAATCCCTTGATCAGTTGAACGTAATCCCACCAATTAGAAAGTCAAAAGAATAAGTTCAAATTTTTCTTTTCAATTATTTTCAACTTAATAATTTTCTTTTGGTGGGAGAACTTGGTGCTCCGATATTATACTAGAAAGTCAAATGAATAAGTTCAATTGTTCTTTTGTGGATACCATAAAAATTGTCCTCCAACCATATATTTGATTGGCGAAATAAAAACATAAATATTACTAATTTTCAATTATAGTTGAAAATAATCCCACCAATCAGAACCACTTTTCAATTAGAGATGGAGAAAAA